AACAAGAATAAAAGCAAAAAAATCAACCAAACAAACAAAAAAACCCCCAAAACGCAATAAAACAAAACAAACAAAAAAACCAATTAATTTTACAGGGTCCTAGAGAATGGAAAAGAAACTTATATATGCAATATTATGATAAATAGGGATTATTTCAGGTCAATACATCTCTAAAACACTATATTATGGCGGTTCTGTCAATTATTTTTCATTGGTCTTTTTTGAATTACATTCATTGAACTTAAAAACAAATGTTTCAATAAATCTAAGGGCTCTTATTCAGAACACTATACAGTTATGCATTTCCATCCTGTGGAATCAAGCGGTCTCTAAACAACTGCTTGAAAAGAAAATATGAGTATATGGAGGGGCTTAAACTGACACGAGTATATGTACCTAAAGAATGACAGCCTTCACGCTGTATAAAGTATTTTGTTTAATTGCTGACCCTTTTCAGATATTCATTTAATAGGTACTATTCAGTAACTAAATCATGAGAGGAGGCGTTAAAGTCATGCAGTGTAAAAGGAAAACTATATAGAAATTATATACTCCCAGTCACATAGATGCCAACAGTTATAAAAGTGAAAAAAAAAAAAAAAAAAAAAAAAAAACAAAACCCTAGAGGCATACACACACACACAGACACACTTTCTTCACTTCCAAACTTCTCCAATGAGAAACTCTATGAAAGAACTCAGATTTATAAGGGGCATGGTTCAGAAAGCATATTGACCTAAAAATGCCTTGGACAAAAGTTATCAGAAAGAAAATAAATCTAACACACAGTTTTAAGGCAGACAGTAATAAATACTTTTTTCTCTGGCAATGTATATACCTGAGCTGTCAGGCCCCTAGAAAAATAGCACCTCAATCACTGTCAAGCTCTGTTATTTCAAGTGATTGCTAACTTTAGTTGGTTGAAGTTTCAGTCAAGTTGCTTCATCATGAATAAAGAGGCATCGAGTACAGCTTTTCTGTTGGGGACTTCAATAAGGGTTAAGGATTAACTACACACAGTACGTTTTGTACAATCTTGCATGAGAAAATGCACCCAAAAAAATTCAGCTAGTAATCAGATCCCAGTTCCTCAACTCCAGAGTTCCTCTTTGTAATTCAATCTTCAACCAGAAATGACCAAGTCAGATTTTACAGACTTCTCTTGTACCATTTGTTTCTTCCTTAGTTTGCATTTCTCAAGCCTTGGAAAGCCTCATATGTTTTGCAAGAGTAACTGTTCAAATTAAAATGGAAACTATTTCTAAATCTGTTCATTTCAGTATATGCTATTTTTAGAGTACTTTAGCTGACCTTAAGAATCTTTTACCCTGCTCTAAGTACATACAGCAGGATACCATAAGTCATACAACAGCATAAAAATCTAGCATTTGCTGTAAGTTAGAATTATGATTTTCTTCATACTTCTTAGTAGAAAGAAATTTTACAATTGATTTCATGATAATTGAGTTTAAAAACTCAGAATGTAATTTAATGGAATTTTAAATGCTGAACTTACTGGAATACTTTATTCGTCACAAGGTCTAGGGGTTTAGAATTGACTAATAGACAGTGATGATGACAAATCAGCGTAGCAGGGTTAATTTCTCAGAGTTGCACTGGATTTAGTCAATCAGCCCTCAGAATAATGGAATTGCACAGCCAAATTCCTCCACTACTAGGAGAATTTAGGAATAAGAGACCTCAACTATTTTTTTTTTGAGACACTTTCTAATGGTATTGAAAAAAAATAAACCTGAGGAAGTCACAGCAGTTTAATTCATCTTCCTTTCCCTTTGAAGTTGCAATTAGGATCACAGTTTATAGATGTTTCAGGCATAGAATTAATTGCCTTTATTGGACGATCTAAAAGTATATGTGTCTGTTTAGTGAAAGAACTTTAGCATACACCTAGAGAGAAGTTGTAACACTAAACTAGCTGCTTTCTTGGAAAAAAAACCACAACAAAACAAACAAACAAACAAACAAAAACAAAAACAAAAACCAAATCAAAACAACACCTAGAATTCCCAAGGTAAAAATAGTTCAAGCACTTCAAAAACCAAGAAAAAAATTATTTTTTTGCCAATAATAATAAAATTTCCATTTTTATCTCATGTGCAGTTTGCATTAATGAGTCAAAAAATATGTCATTCTGTATCTTGCCTCACCAACAGTAGAAACTAAATTAAAATTGAGCCATAACATCTCATGATGATGTTTCTTAAATTCCGTGTGTAGAAATGTACATACCTATCTGTGTGTCTTTCCAAGTTTGCATTTTTCAGCCTAATTAGAACAATGAATCCTAGTAGTCAGTCGTGCTCTCACAGTTACTTGCTTTATGCTTTACCTATTTCTACTTATACTGGTTAAAGATTTTCATAACAGAACTCTGACCAACCCAAAATATTCCTTTCTTTCATGCCCCTTCAGCAGTAACCCCAACCTACAAAACCTTTGGCTACCCTGAGGAGCAGGTCAGAATTTGGAAATTCTGTTCAGCCTGTGGTTCAGAAGTACTCTTCTGGGGGGTTATTTATTTAAAAATTGTCACATAAGTGTGTATAATGTCCCCCTCCTGTGGACAGCTACAAGAGCCATGGTAGATTGCATGTGGACAGCGGCTGAGTTACCTGGAGAAGAAATCCACGTGTGTTTTACTCATTTAAGGTACTTAAACATCCACTATCCTCCACAAACCTCCACTGTCTGAAATGCATTTTATGCAGCCACATGTACCCAGTGGGAACCATCTTTGTGTTACAAGAACTGTAATGTCTCAGATCTTCAAGTCACACATATGTTGTTACATGGGAGGTTTGTATTATATTTTTGTTTAATAGACACAAACTTAACTACAAAGGATTTGTTAGTGATGGTCTAATTATACCTTTATGTAAGTATACTTACTTATATTAAAACTTCTCAATAGTACACTTTTTAAGGTGCTTTATAAATTAAATAAGCCAGAAATATTTCTAAATTATAATGGGAAATGCATCTGTGCCATAATCCCAAAACTGAATTTCACTGATCAGTGTTTCCTTCTCTTATCTTAATTTAAAATACACACATGTAAATAATCAAGCACGTGTACCAAAAACCCTTTAAAGTCAGATGGTACCAGGCAAAATTCTGTGTCATTTGCATTTCTACTGCTTAATCCCTAGGCTTTAGACTGGAAACTGCATTCCTTCACTTTTGACAGGTAGATTAGAGATGACCGTCTTTCTCCAGCACTTTTTAAATGCGTCCTGTTATGATTTAATTACCTTTATTCCTCCTTTTCTCTTTTGGTTTATGGCCTAGAACAGCAGCCTTGGCAATGAATCCTTTAGAATAAGCCATTGGCCTCCATTATGAGAAATTCTTATAACTGCACCAGTGTTAGCATACTCTCAAGCACTGGTTTACAAGAAAAAGCCCCAGCAGAGACAAGAAATTAACATGCCTTCATATCCCATTAGTAAGCACAAAGTTCAAATATCATATTTCACCTGTTTCTAATCAGGAATGAGAAGAATCAGTGGTGCACACGAGCATGTAATTATGTACAGCATCCATTATTATTTCCATCACAGACAAATCTTAATAAAACACACACTATCATTCCAAAGTTTCCATATCACCTGTCCACAATGTTTCTAGAGTTCAGCTGTCCTTACTGCATTATATTCCTGCTACCAAGAATACCTAATTCCAGCTCAATAGTTATTTAGAGGGGGGAAATAATAGTTTACAAATAATCCGCCTCTAAAAAACCCAGTGTGGTTGAAGTTCTTTTCTTCTAGCCAGTGTAGAAAAGATTTCCTTTAAAAATAGACTAGATTACATATAATAGGCTTTTTTTCTGCCTGTTTGTGCCTATCAGTCAGAGAGGGACTGCAGTTTGTTGAAGTATGCTGGTAAATGTTCTGCTATCATTAAAAGAAGGAGAATGGTATGATTGTACATTTGGAGAAAAACACAGGCATCTTTGCTATCATTTTAAAAGTAGAAGCTCTATAAGTGCTAGATGCCATCATTACTATGGTTACTAACACTGAAAACTTACTTAAGTTACATATGATGATAAATTCATCCGACATCAAGTTTCAGTAATTCATGATGCGGTACCCGCTACTAATACGGAACCACTTCAACTGCCCAAAAATCCATTCAGATTCTAGGAAAGATGTGAAGCATTTTTAAAATTTCATTCCTTGGTAAGAATAAATTTTCATCTCAATCAGGAGTGACAGCTGTCATTCTTTTTTCTCAAAGGCACAAGCAGTGCTATAGTCTTCCTGAAGCAAGGATGAAGTGAAATGGAAGACACCGAAGACATCAGCACATGCATACGCTTTATAAGAAACTTTGCATGGGAAACTATGATTTTGCCTTTTTGTGTGTCCTGGTTCTGGTCAGGACAGGGTTAATGGCACATTCAGGACTCTAATCTTAGTGGATACCATCTCACATCATTGCCAGGGGCAGGGGAAAGGGCCTCTCACTCGATGCTGTGGAGAAAGGTGTTCCTTCCCTTAAAAAAAACATGGGGGGGGAACCATCCCATATTGTTCACTGTCTGCAATGAATATTTTTGTATGTGAATCACTCTTTCTTGTATACTTTTGTTGTTAATATTGTTGCTGTTATTGTTTGTTTTCTTATCTCATTGTGATTTTCAGTAAATTGTTCTTATTTCAACCCATGATCTTCACCTTTCATGTTTCCAATTCTCAACTCCATCCCAATGCAGTGGAAAGGGGGAGGGGAGGAGAAAGAGAGAGAGAGAGAGAGAGCAGAATGTGCTTTAAAGGGTCTTTGAGTATCATTCCTAAAGCACAATTGTGAAAGAGTATCAAATCCTGGAGGGGTGATCATGTTTGGTGCCCTCAGCAGCAAAAGTGATACCAAGCGGTAGTCTAGATAATCTGTAAACTCAAGATACTAATCAACTGTGGCAAAGTTTGTCATGTCTGACACTTCTCTTATCAAGCATGAAACATACAAGTGCATTTCTGGTGGCTACACAGATGAGTTTATTCACACTGATGAACTCATAAAAGTACAAGCTGTATGCATCAGCAATAATGAATGGACCGGCATAGTAAAATGCTTAGTATTGCCAGGGCAACATAATGATGATGCAATATGAAAATACATTTCCATTATACTAAATTATCCTGCCTCACATTTTTGTTACTCTTCATAGAAAATGTTAAACGGAAAGAAAATGCACAACAATATATAGTTTTCACCAAATAACATTTCTTTTCTTCAATGTATAGTCACATCGTATATAGCAAGACCTAGTATTATGGAATAGTAGTATGACCTTCACATGTTCACTAAGCTTTATCGCTTCCTATATTAAAACTCATTTTTAGTTGTTATAAGACACATGCATTCTTCCCCTCATTCTCCTCTACTGTAGTTTCACAGTAGATCTTCTAGTAGATCTGATATATTCAATGTAAAAAAAATAGCAATATCTGCTATTTGCCTGCTTTTGCTTGATCTGAGAATTACAAAATTTTTATTTAATGTATTGAATATACTAGAATAGCCCCTAAGCCTTGTCACTTCTCCTTAAGAAAAATAGATAAGATGAACTGTTAGGGTTTTTTTCTACATTTACAGAAAAATCCAAATTCTGCAGTATATTTACACAAAACTAGATCAATAAAATTCACAGCTGAAGTACTATTAAATAGAAACTGTTTTAGTGCAAGTGTATTATCAAAAAAAATTTTGGCAGCTGTCACTAAAAATACATCCTTTCTAAATAATATTTTTGAGAAAAGTAGTTTACATATGCAGATGAAGATTGAGATGATTTCTAAACAAAACGTTTTCAGATTGTGAAGACTGACTAAGGCCAGACAAAAATAAACCCAAAACAACATTCCTTGAACAATGCTTGATAAGAGGAATTGCATTATAGTGAAGACAATAATTAAAAGTCCCAATTCAGTCACCACCACTGCCACTGCTGAGTTTCGTGCCTCAGTTTTCGTCTCAGAATCTGCTTAAGGATTAGCAACAATTTTCAAAGGGCTTTTTTTATTTCTTCACGTTCAAAAATATTGTTTATTTTGATTCCCTGTATGCCTAATGTGGGTTCTTCATGGACCATAGTTTCATTACACACTACACAGACATTAAATACCAAAAAAATTACCTGGGACACCCTGGAGGCACAGTTATAACACAAATAATGTACCTTCCCTTGTTCTAATTGTTTACAATTATCATATGTCCATTCAGCAACACATTTTCACCACAAAAGAGAAGATACATTTACCTTTTTGGCTTGTCTTTTCTCACTGTCTTTTTTTTGTTTTTTTAATACTTTAGGTCTTAAATTGATAGGCACTAGTAAACAACACCTTGGCTTTAAGCTGGTAGTTTCTTGTTCACCATTTCCAGGTCACTTTTCTGAAGTTTTGAGTGCTGGGATTTTTTTTTTACCATTTCATCAGTCAACACCCCTTTACAAATAAATTACTCAAATACCACATATACAAGCAAATTTAGTTATCAGTTGCCCATTTCCAGAACTGGAGCTTTTGGAACCATATCTCACATGAAATCTTAAGGAGTTCAGAATATTGTCAATTATTTTCTCCTTCACTCAGAAGTATAATTTCAATTCTCTTTCAAATACTAGGGAAAAAAAATTGTCGCTACTGGTTTTAGTTTGGCTTTTTCCTTTAGACATCTGAGTCTATTTCTAGTTACAGAAAATATGCTGTAATACTTTAGAGAAAATGAAATTTAATGTTATATAGTCCAATAATTTCAGTCCAATAATGCTATCTCATAGTTTTAAAAATCTGCACACCTCAACATTAAAAATGTCAAGAGCAGTATCATCTGACTTATAATGTGCTTTGCTGCACAGAGGACAACTATAGATACACTGTCAGAAAATGCTTATTTTACTCTGGTTTCCAAAAGAAAGTATTTTGAGATCATAATGTCTTTCTTTCCATCTTCAGATTAAAACTTCTCCTACTCAATTTTTTGTCCCATCTTACCAATTCAAAGGCAGAATATATTCTCAAAAATAATGTTCTCACAAGCGTTCATGAAAATTCTATTAATAAGATGGGAGAGGATCAAACTAATGCTTTCACATGGAAAAAAACTAATATAACTCTTTGATATTACATACAAATGTTTGGCTGCAGCTGTCTGGTCAAGTAGCGTGAACCCAGTTGCCAGTCATTTAACATGTACATAGCTCAATATTAACTACCATATCTGCTCCCTCTTGCTAAAAAATATTAACATTATTGCAGTAAGGATGGAAATTATTCAGATCTATCAAAAGAGGCCATCGTCAGTTGTGCTGGTCTTGGAACAAACTTGTTCAGTGCTTACTCCTATACTTTAAAAAAAAACCAAACAAACAACTAATATTTAACTTCCTCTTTCAGAACTGCAGATTTAATATACTATAAAAAAGTAAAAAGTCATTTGCTGATACCTTGATATTTTTATGTTGCAGCCAACTGAGAGTTTGCTGCTAGAGCTGAAAGTGTCAGTTACTCTGTAATGGCATAAAGTAATAAATGTAATACATTATATTGGATGCAGAAGGTGATGGATAATTATTTACCTTCATGTTGTGTAAGTTTCCAAATCAGTGATTTTGAGCTAGATACATAAGTGATTCTGCATTCACACTCAGGTACCATGAAATCCGTGTAGCCCTCAAAGTTCAGAGGGCTTCAGATTTTCAATAATACTGTTATTTATTTTGTTTGAAAGTTCTTTTGTAGCTAGGGGAAATATATATGTTCTACCCTTTCTAAAAATACTGGTACACACCTGCTTCCTGAGCACCTTTGAATTTCCTACTTCATCAAACTGGTTGCTGCAGTTCTCACTCAAAAATAAATTCTCCATTATTTGTCAGTAATCAAAGTCAATTTATTTCACTGAGGGATGTACAAAGAAAGATCTGATTTTAGACATCTTATCCTAGTAAAATGATCTTAGAAAAACGGAGATAAGTAGGAAAACAACTACATAAGTTTCACTGCAGATAAGGGTTACACCAATATATCTGTCAACATTATTATTAGCCTCTTTGCTACACAAGCTATTTTCCTATAGCGATGAAGTTGGTGTTTTCAGCCATTCATGTGTCTGAGGAGTACTTGTCTTCTATTTTCTCTCAATAAGTCTACACTGACATTGCCTGTGCAATGTCTGAAAAGAAAGCCAAAATTAGGGAAAACTAATTACTGTTAATAGAGACAATGAAAATTCAGTTCAACTGAACACGAAAAGATGTTGACTTTTAACTTTTCCTTAGTATCCAACAAAAAAAAAGACTCTTTGTACAATCAGGAAATAAACTGTGATCTTAATTATTTCCAATACATCACTGAGGTTGGTCGTTATATACTCTTATTTCCCTGCTCAGAACAGGGTCCATTGCAGCTGGCTCCTCAGAACCATGGCCAGAGAAGTTGGTCAAGCTTCTTATCACCTTTGTAAATCTAGGTCAGCTACTCCAAATAACCTTCCTGCCTTTTTGTTTGGAATTGGTTTCCAGGATTATTTGCTCCATCACCTTCTCATGGATCCAGGTGAGGCTGCCCAGTATGTAGTTCCCCCGATCTCCAGAGGAGAATGACCAAAACCAAGTCCATCATCTTCTCTTTTGCTCCCTTTGGCCTCTCCAGTACATCAACATATCTAGAAAGGGAAGTAAGAATCAAAATCATAGGACTAGAAGAATGTTTCAAACTTTAGCCTAGTTTTTTATCCTCTACAATTAGAAGTCGTGAGAACACTGTTCAGCAAGGACCAGTCTATTCTGCCTCAGATGACCATCAAAAAACTTATGGAGTTCGTGCATAATTTTAATAGTGCTTCACTTTAGTCTTTAACATTAATATCGAAAACTATGAATACCAAAGATTACAGAAACAGTACATTTAAAGAATAACAGTGGAAACTATCATTAGTAAGAAACTCTGTTCTCCTACTCTAACATTTCTCTAAAAGTTTCAAAGTAAAAGCAGACTGCGCAAGTCATTTCAAAACAAGACCTTTTCTGCCAGAACAAACAAAACAAGCCTGAAACAACCTGTGAGAGATGCTTTCCCAGAGTCAAAAATCACATTTGAACTTCGTATGGAAAATTCAGTTTCAAGTCTGCAATCCCTCGCTTACTTGAATGAGCTCTTAAGTCAGTGAAATGAAATCTTCTGCTTCCATATGTATCAGGCAGAGTCATCTCTTATCTCTGCAAACCACAACTCACTCCAAAATTCATTAAGCTTTAATTAACTGACATTCTATAAAAATATTTATGATTTTCAGTGTATTTCCAGATCAGACCACATTAAGCTAACCTGGTGTGGTCAAATGAGCTTTTCTGTAAAATATTTCCACACACTGCAGCACTCTAATTCATATTGGTTAACACTGATAAAGATAGCCAAATACAAGCCCAAACTACTGCTGCCAGTTAATTAAGAGCCTCAATTAAAAGTGAAACATGTAAGACATTTTGACCCTTGCTATCAAACTTCCCTTCCCTCCCCAATCAAAAAAAAAGCACTAGTAAAGTAAAAAAAAAAAAAAAAAAAAAAAAAAAAACCACAAGAGGGGGGACTGGAATGTTTTGTAATTCCATTTTATATCCTGCTGATTCCAGCTAGCTGATTGCTATTTTTTGAGTGGGCAGCTGACAGTTCCCTAGCAACAGATTAATTGATTGCAGCTTTAAATCCACCTCCTTCAACCCTGTTCTATTCCTCACTTATGAGTGCATACACGCATATCTGCCAGGTATAAGACAACAGATAGAAATCTAAAGAACAAAGGGAGAAGGATCTGATAGAAATTTATTCTAGAAAGGTTTTAAATTTCAGAAATAATGTACTGCAATAATGAGATTAAAAAATTATTATGTTTATGTCAGTATACTTTCAGTCATGTTGTTTTGTGCTATTCTTTAACATAGGGTTCAATAAATCTTTTCATTCACTATCATATTAATTAAAATGTATTCATTCCAAATTTATATATAAAATTTTACCCACCTGGTAGAATGGAAAACTATAATGGGAAAAGAGAGTTGAAGGTAGAAGTATGAATCTAGTAAAGTAGGCGCAAGAGTTAATCTTCACTCATATAACAGTAATTTCTGTGCTAATAACCTATTGTGAAAGAGTAGAGGATTTTTGTTCCATTTGCTTTAGAACTAGCTAGCTTTTATATATATATTATCAACAGAAAATATTTTCAGTACAAAAATAGGAGAAAAAAGGTCTCAGGTAGGTTTCCAGGCCCTAAGTCCAGTGATGCAGGCTCAAAACCCCTGCTGAGCTCAAATTCATAAACTCTCTAGGTGCTGCCAGTTTCTGACTTAAACGCTTGAAACATCTGGGAGGAACAAGCATCATGTTTTAAGTAAATTGTAAGATCTTGGGGTCTTATTAAAGAAGGAGAGTGAGGCAAACTGAAAGCAAGAAGGAATGACTTCAGGATTACTAGGGAAAAAGAAAGATCTCTAAGGAAAGCTTTGTGGATTGCTTCTCTTCTGCTGGAAGCACTGAGTGTCTGCAGCTATAGGACTGGGAAATTGTGATTTCTCCTATTGAGAAAAAATGGAATGAATTGTCATTTTACTAATCTCAAATAAGTGAGATCAACACATGACATTCTTTAAACATGGTCATTTTTAATCTGAATACAGGGAAACATGCAAATCCTCATCTTCCACAAGAACGCCAGAGCCATCAAGGTATCCTGGTTTGGGTGGAATCAGGAAGTCTTTATCTTTCCATTTGAAGCTGTTCAAAGTTTTTAGTCTGCAAGAAAGCTCAGTCCAAGCCAGCGAGAATGGGTATGACCTTCTGCTTGAAGGTTTCATATTATTGAAGAGAAATAGGAGAGGGGGGTTCTGTTTTCTTCCAGTTACTTCAATATGTCATTGAAAAATTTTTCATGTAAAATGTATAAACAGGCCTGGGAACATGGAAATCAGCTCTCTGCACTTATATCCATAGCTACTAGACTCCAAGTCAGGCACTACATACTAAATGTCTGCTTCCCTAAACATCTACATCACCGGTTACTACATTTCTCTCTGAAACACTAAGCTATCTGCAGAAAACTTAGAATTCTTAACTCCACAGTGAAGAATCCATTTTGAAAATTTTGGCTTAGGGGAATCTAGCATTTAAATGTCTATTAGGTCTGCCCTTAAAATATTAAGTTCTAGAATAGACTGAGCTGCAGCTTTGTAAATTTAATTTGTAAAATACATAGTAATTTTTAGCAGTTTTAATTAACTGCAGAACTATTAGTGCAGGGCATTTATTCTGAAAGCAGTTTAGCTGTCATATGTGAAAAATATGTAACTTTAGACATTTTTCCATGTGTGAAAAATATACAGAAAATGTGAACATGACAGCTTGAAAATGCTAAGCATTTGAAAATCATTCAGTAATGCTTCCATTCCGCTTTCAGGCACATTTTTGTAAATCCGTCTCCTACCTGCAACATCCTGTCCTATTCTTTCCCTTGTTATTGACTAAGTAGATAGCATTTTAAATAATGTCAATGTTATTCACTGAATGTGACCTAAAAATTACTTGGATACTCAATTCTCTTCTTTTTTTAAAAAAAGGGTATTTCCTAGGGGAAGCTGCTAGCATGATCTTGGAAGTAAACCTTGACAACATGAGTCATAACATTATTTTCAAATATTTATTTTAACATCTTGGCAGAGAATGGAATACTGCCATCACATTGTAGCAAACAAACACATACCATGGATTAAAGATATATGAAAATAGTAAATAAATGGTCAAGAATGTATTTGATGTACATTGCTAGAGTCTAATTTGAACATAAATATAAACATTATGACAGTAACTAAAAAAGAATCTATATATGTTGCCTAGCTTAATTTAAAATGTGTAAGACATGAACAAGGGAGAAAGAATAGCCATACACCAATTTCTATTTCACTCAACAGCATGGAATGTTTATCTTTCAAACAATCCTTATCCTGAAAGGCATTAATTTGGTTTTAACACCAACATTGCACACAAACCAACTCATTCTTATCACTCTCAATTGTTTAAATTAAAAATGAAGAATAATTATTTTGAAGATACAGTAAGACATCCTGACAGTTATAGGTGGCCTTTCTAGAATATTATGTCTCCTGCATCTTTTTCGACAAAATTTGAGTCTCAGGTGAAATATTTATGTACTATAGTTTGGCATTTAGAAGTTTGAGATGTATTTTCCTGAAAAGTGTTATTTAGCCTTGCAAGGAAATGTGGAGCAGAATGGTTCCTGATAAGAACATGTCATACGTGGAAAAAAGAGTTCCCTGAATTTCTCTGAACATGCACTACTTCTGATACTTACTTTTCCCAAAAATTACCTCTCAAATGCCAAGAGTATTAACTTCAACTGGGTTTTTTTAAGCCATTTTTCAAAAAACACATTTTTCATACATAGCCAAGAAGAACCTGCACCTTTATCCGCCACTACCCACCCCTGCTCCCTTAGGAGCATCCTTCCTCCTGGATAAGTACTCTAATCACTGTACTATTATGCTAGTCATGAACCATTACATATTCTGTCTCCTTAGTCCGACAAATCCTGTAACTATTTCATGCAAAGCAGAAAATCACCAGCAGAAGAAATTAGGCCTGATCCACAAACAGATAGCCTCACTGGACAAAGTTTTAGAGTATTCTGTGTCTTTTGTAGCAGAAATTGGTCATTCTTGCTGATTTGAAATGCTTGCAAACTGGCCAGGTAACTTTTCAATACTTTTAAACCAAGCTGCTGTGTGAACTTTCACTGATGCAATGATATTTGCCTGATTATTGTCATCTTCTGTTTCCATTTTTGTTAGAACTTTAAGCCAAATAGTCCATCTGCCATTCTCTCTCACTTGTCATTTTATAAGTTATAAAAATGAAGTATATTTTAAAATTCTAGATCATCAGTTTTATTTTCTCACATAAGCACTGAACATAAGAACTGAAATGCTTTTGCAGAATATTTTATTAAAAAAAACTAACCCTCTTCGACTGTGTCTGAGATCTACATCTGGACTGTGTTTCAGATCTTACTGAATGCCTGCTAAAAATAATGGCCAAGGAGGAGAAGTGCACTGGGCTTAAACATAAATGGCTGTTTCACAAAATCACCTCTTGCAATACTCAAATAATACAGGGGATTTAGCCACATCTTCCATTGGAATCAACATTCGTATTGTGTGTAGGAGAGAAAGAGATTCAGAAACAGAAAAAAAAGGTCAAGCTTTTCTTTATACGGTGTTCTGTTTGCATTCTTCTTGCTTAAAAAAAAAGCAGAATACATTCAACAGACTTGTGAACACCTCCACAAGCACAATCAACATGAGCTGAGAGGGACTCACTTTACTTCATGAATACATTTACATTACATCTTGTGAAATTACTGAGCAGCTGTTAGAGAAAAAAGAAAACCTGATCAGTATTCTTTCAGAGGGACTTACTGAGGACCAATCATCAAATACACAAGGTAAATAGAAATGGCACTCTTGAATAGGTGATAAGCACTCAAGTACAGACAAAAGTGAGACACTGTGACCTTACATTCAGCATGAGCAGTAAATTAACATATCTGTGCAGTGTACTAGGAAATTAAGAGGACAATAAGGACAAAGTAGATGT